TTTTATTATATAATAAAATAATAATTAAATATTATATGGTGAACAACAATAAGTAAAACTGTTACTTTCTCTTATATCAAGGGATAAATTTATATGCTAAAATTAAATTTTTATTAGTATAAATGTTTTAGTGAGATAATATATTAATTATTTTACAAGCTAGCCCTAACATGCTCATATTTAATGTTTTAAAAGATGTAGAAAAAAAACTTACAATAATTCTATTGTTTTTTAGACTTAAACGTTGATTAAAAGAGGTATAAATTCCTAATTTTTTAGACTTAAACGTTGATTAACACCATAGATTGAGAGCTTATATTTAATAAAATTCCTAATTGTAATAAAAAAATTAATTTTTGCTATATTTTAAAATATCTTTAAATTCATTATAAAAAAAAAAAACTACAATGAAAAAAGCAAGTTAGCTATATATCGATTTGTTATACTCCTCAAATCACATTCACAATTTGGCTACAAGGAAAGGAAATCATTGATTAAAATTATATTTTGTCAGTAGTCTTAATGTACAAGAGACTTTAAGACTCCACTTGAATATTATAAAACTTTTATTGAACATTGTACAATTTTCTTGCGTATTATAAACTTTTATTGAATATGGCATCTTATAATATAATATTCTCCAAATAAATATATCTCGTGCTTTGCACGGGTCACGTACCGTACATTTTTCTTTATTCATGTATATAATTATAAGTTTGGATAAATAACCTTAAAATTGTGCAGCTCGTGCATCGCTGTACTAGTATTAACAAAAATACTAATAAAACACCAATCAAATTCATATCAATCACACTCTTACCGTCGGATAAAATAGGTAATAAAATTAATGTGAAACATAGAAAAAGAATGAACAGAAGAGAATAAAAGAAGATTTATCTGGGAAAAAGGAAATTCCACCCTACCCATGGAAATATCAGAAAACTGTCCACAAAATGTTTCTTTCTCCTCTCAAGTCTCAACCTAATAAATCAAAAAACCAAAATAATAACAAAAGCACGTTTTTCCACTCGATCGAAAATACTATACTATTATTCGTGTGCCCTCTCGGTCACTCCATTTCCCATTTGCCTCTGTTGAAAAAAGTTGCAGAGAACAAGAAACCAGAGAAGAAAGAGCATATAACAATAAACCTAACAGTTTCGTTAAGCTTTTGGAAATTACTTACCATACAGGTAAAANAAAAAAAAAAAAAAAGATGCATTCAAGTCACTTGCTGCTCGAGGAGCCCATCAGGATGGCCACCATCCTTGAGCCATCCAAAGCTGTGAGTATTTTGTTTATCTAGTCTGTATTTGCTTTTCTCTCTTTTTGGTGAAAGTTTGTGAATTTGGGTAGATCTGTTTTTCGCGTGATATGGGTTTGATTTAGTTTGGTCTGTTTTGGCTTTTGGGCGCAGAGTTTCTTCCCTGCTATGACGAAGATCGTCGGGACTCTTGGCCCGCGCTCTCGATCCGTTGAGGTTATTTCGTCTTGCCTTAAAGCTGGGATGTCAGGTAATGATTTTGTGTTTTTGTATCTTTATGTTTTTTGTTTTCCTCTTTATATATGTGGTTTGGTTTTAGTTTCTCGTTTTCATTTTCATTTTCATCAACTTTTACATTTAATTTTGTCTTTTGTTGTTGACTGGCAGTGGCAAGATTTGATTTTTCATGGGGTGACGCGGAGTATCACCAGGAGACTCTGGAGAATTTGAAGGCTGCTATCAAGAGCAGCAAGAAGCTCTGTGCTGTAAGTATACATTGATTTAACGAGGTTTCGATTCATCATTTGCTGTAATTGTCCAATCGGAACTATTTTGGCTTTTTGAGTCGTAAGAGATATTGGGATAGATAGAAGCTGGTATTTCTGTTATCTAGAAAATGGATAGAATAGGGAGACTTCAGAAAATTTTAAGATTGCAAGAGAATCTGTGCTATAAGTATACGTTAATTTAATTAGGTTTTGATTCGTCATTTTCAGTAAGTGTGTGAGTAGAACTATTTTAGCGTTTTGGGTCATGAGAGATATTGGGATAGATGGAGAGGCTGGTATTTCGGATTTTCTAGAAACGAATAGAATAGCGCTTTACTATTTGCTTTGGAAATCAGGTTATGCTCGACACAGTGGGTGCTGAAATGCAAGTTGTTAATAAAAGCGAGAAAGCTATAACCCTCAAGGCAGATGACAATGTCATTCTGACACCTGATAAAGGTCAAGAAGCATCATCTGAAGTTTTGCCAATCAATTTTGCTGGACTTGCCAAGGTTCTATTTGAAGTTGGCTTTGCAAATTTTATCTTAATTATGGACTTTTATCCAATTTTCTATGATATAATTTTAGTTGAGCTTTCTAATGAAGTATTTTGTTTGCAGGCTGTGAAGAAGGGAGACACCATTTTTGTCGGTCAGTACCTATTTACTGGAAGTGAGACAACTTCTGTGTGGCTTGAGGTATGAGTTGTAGTTTTTAAATTTTGATTTCTTTTTTTTTCCCCCACTATTTGAGCTATATAAATGTTTTCTCAATATCCAATTTGTGGTGTTGGAACCTTCTGAAGGTAGAGAAGAAAACCTGAGCATTCTTACTGGATTATGTGACTTTTGTCTTTGAACAACCGACCTTAAGTCGTGAGTTATGTTTTGAGTTTTTCATCTGAGGAAATTTTGCTGGCAGGTAATTGAAGTGAATGGTGATGATGTGGTTTGTGCCATAAAAAATTCTGCAACCTTGGCTGGAGCATTGTTCACTCTTCATGCTTCTCAAATTCATATCGACTTGCCTACACTAACTGATCAGGATAAGCAGGTGAGTGGTGTATAGTAAGTGTGCCCTTTATGTCATGCATTCATGAAGAAGATTTGGTTTGGAAGTTTAAATTCCACTCTAATCTGTTGGATAGTTTCAAATATCGGGTTTAACATTGAAACTTGTTGATCTTTATGAAAGTAACTATCTGCTAAAAATTGGAGCTTCAATGATTCAATCATCTTTGGTTTTCGTAACTTGCCTTTCTCTGTTTTCCTACCCCGATCTATTAGCCACTTGTGACAAACCGTTAAAAGTGTGCCATTGATGTTTCAACTTTCAGGTTATCAGCTCATGGGGTGTTCAAAATAAAATCGATTTCCTGTCATTGTCTTATACACGTCACGCGGAGGACGTTCGCGAGGTTATATTTTAGTCTATGATTATGCACTTTTTATGATTTTCAATTTATATATGTGGATTGTGAAGCACTGTTT